TTACCTGGTGTTTGGCTCCGCTACCATTTGTAACAGTCCAAGTCCACCGTTAGCAGATATTGTCCTCTTTGGGCTTTCCCTTTCGGGTTTCCCTTCAAGGTTTTTAAAACACATATGCTAGGGGGAGTTTTTCACACCTTTATAAAGAATGCTTCATTCTTCTCCCCAATTGATGTGGGATCTCATAGAACCGATCGGAGCAATAATGTTTTAACGATAATATGATACTTTGTATTACTTTGGCTGTATCCTCTTGTGATCTGGGCAGTAAAATTTTACTTTTGAAACATAACAGATGGAAGTGAGATTGAGCGAAGAGAAAGATCTTCTGGGTTCAGATAAGCAGCAGATTTGCCAAGATTTGAAGCGATTCTTGCAGCCCGTTCGTGGAAAGTTGCTTCAATTCGAGCAGGAGCTCAAAGAAAGATAAAAAGGTTCATTCTTAACAACAACATGTACCAATTATTTTTGTACTTCCTACGTTTGTTTGGCAAGAATGTCTTATTGGATCATATCACAAGGGGCCATTGAGATGCTAAAATTGTAATGCAACTAAATAACGCTTATTTTGTTGTGGGAACTTAATAGATTCTTCAATGTTTAAGGTACTTTGAGGCCCTTGGATATGCTGGGACTGTTATTATTTTTATCAGATCCCTTGTGTGGTTCTAAGTCGATTCCTATCTAGTGTGATGTATGGAATATATGACAACGGTGGAGTGTTAGAGTACTATTGCTCGGTCATGTCATGTAGATTCGAGCGGACGTTCAATTGCTTCGATTTGAATTATCTGGAGGATGCCTTACTATTTTATCAAAAAGATACCATCAAACCAAGATGACAATCAAATCTATTTCTCTCGATAGAAGCCCAAAGAGATGAATAGGGTCCTAAACAATGATAGATATGTATAAAACAAGTCCGTATGCATATTCCTAATCCTAAATGGAATGTAAGGACGTAGGGATCCATAATGTTTCCATTATGTTTACAAGTCACATATGCATATTCCTAAGAACATTCTTAAGAACGTAGGGATCATTATGTTTGAGATGTAAAAATCTAAATGGAATGTAAGGATGTAGGGATCCATTATATTTAATAGAGAGATAATCCATTATATTTACGAGAGATAATCCATTATATTTACGAACAAATCTATATGTAAACATAGTATCAAATACGTTCGGATGACCTTAGTAATTTTAATTCATTTAGAAGATGGGTTTTCTCTTCATGACATATAGGAAAGGTAATTAATGTTAAAGATATTAATGTTATTTTTAAAGATATTAACTAATTTTAAAAAATAAACAAAATATTAATAATTTCTACATAAAATTAACGTTTTTAAAGATATTAACTAATTTTAAAAAATTTTAGAATATTTTTTAAACAAAATATTTTTCAAATTTTGTATTATTAAAATTTTTGAAAATTTAGAGTTATGTATTTTTTAGATAATAATATTCTTATTAATTAACCGGAAAAAAAAATATATTATTATACGTTTCTCTTACTTCGTTCGTTGCTCTGCGTCAAAAACCGCATAAAACCTCTCTCACGAGCAGCCATTTCTTCGAGCTCTCGAAACTGCATATATCAGTTCCAATGGCGGCGAGGAATTCTCTACTGAAGTATATTAGGGTTCACGTACAGGCCCTGCCCAAATCCAATACCCCCGTTCTCTATGTCCACCCCTTCAATGCGATTCGACGCCGTCTCTTCTCCGAGGAGGTGAGGGGTTCTTTTCTTGACAAATCGGAAGTCGCTGACCGCGTCATTTCCGTTGTCAAGAAATTTCAGAAGGTCGATCCTTGCAAGGTATGAGAAATACTCTATTCCTTTCATGATTGATTTTGATTTAATGTGTCTGATATCAAATTACGCAATTAAGTTTCTGTGAGCTACGCTTCGCGTTTGCAGTGGCTTTCTGTTCGTTTATTAACTTTGAATTTTAGGGTTGATTTGGTTTGTGATCTACTAGTGAGAACGTATTGTGCGTTTTCATTGTACTTGCAAATTAGGGATGTGTATCTATGTTCTAAAGTATTAAAAACATATTGAAATAGGATGCATTACTCAATAGAAGTTTTTAGATGGACACGACTCTCCACAAGGGTATGATATTGTCCACTTTGAGCATAAGCTCTCATGGCTTTGCTTTGGGCTTCTCCAAAATGCCTCATACCAATGGAGATAGTATTCTTTGATTATAAACTCATGATCATTCCCTAAATTAACCGCTGTGGGACTTTCATCATCCAACACCTCCCCTCGAACAAAGTACGCCTCCCCTTAATCGAGGCTCGACTCCTTTGAAGTCTTAGTCATTTTTTACTATACCTTTGAGGAGGCTTGACTCCTTTTCTTTTGGAGTCGTTTGTTCGACATTTGAGGATTTGCCAATCTATTGGCACGACTAAGTTTAGGGCATGTCTCTGATACAATGTTAGATGAACACGACTCTCCACAATGGTATGATATTGTCCACTTTGAGCATAAGCTCTCATGGCTTTGCTTTGGCTTCCCCAAAAGGTCTCATACCAATGGAGATAGTATTCTTTGATTATAAACCCATGTCATTCCCTAAATTAACTGATGTGGGACTTTCATCATCCAACAGAAGTATGGTTGATGAAGTATATTTTCTTACCCCCACCAATGGAACCTCAACTCTCAGCCTTCAAGCTATTCCTCTTCGGCAGATTCTTCTTCCAGTGAAGTTTTTCATTTGTATTATCCTTCTCAAAGATATCATTAACTAACATGGGCTTGCATGATTTGGAAATGTGTTTGAGCATTGATGTTAGATTTGGTATACATTTTCGAAAGCTTCACCTTTTACTGAAACTCTTAATTTTGAAGAGTTTACAAACAATAACTCCAGTCCCATTAATGACATTTAAATGACTGATGAATCTTCGATTCAAATTTTGTTTGAACATGCCCCTTCTGTGGGTTTCAAAACACCTTCTGAAGCTTCCCTGAAGGCTTTTGAGTCTACCTATCATTATCTTATTCTCGAAAATTTTGGCTTTATTCTTCATTTCATCCGTTCATTGAGGATAATTCTTTGAATACTGATTTAATCGAAGAAAGTTGTTCAAGTCTTTTAGCCCCCCATATGAAGCAAGTTGCCTCTTCACCTTCTTATCCTTCACAGTTTTTACTTCCCCATACTTGCAACCAAAATGTTGTATCCCCTTTGAATCCAGATTCTTTATTAACTAGAGGAGTTCTCCACTTGACAAAATACCATGCTCCTCTTTCACATGATTCTGATTCCAACGTTAGCATTAAAAAGTGTTGAATCAGTTATGGAGCCTAACTTGGAGGATGGTGTTCTTGAAGATTCTTATTTTGAAGCTTTTGGTTCATTATTTTAGGAAGATGACAATGATACTCTTCTTCTTCCTTTATAAATTCTATTGTTCCCTCCATTCAAATACCCCACAGCAACTTGTTTGTCACACCACTTTGCCCTTCTCCCTAAAGGGAAGATTCAGATGCACCTCCTCCATCATAGACCTCCTATATCCGTGTGCACCTCACAAGCCTCGAATGGACTCGTCCAACGCCCCTAAAGGTAAAGAGATGCAAGTTTAGAACAAATGATTAAGACTCTCCTCATTCCTCCGGTAAAGAATGAACCATTCCAGTTACACACAGGAAAATAGAAAGAGAAATCCTTTTTTTTGGTTTTTGAATTGTCTGCTGTCATGTGGATTTTCTTTTTCATCCTTTCTTAAATTGTAGGATCTCAATTATTCATATGAAAATACTTGTTTAGGTAGAGTACCAGGTGCATTTGAAACTCGCATAGAAATTTTAAGCACTGCATTCATTTCTATCTTTCTTTTTTCACGAGTTGATAATGCATATTATACATTCTCTGCCAGGTTACTCCAACGGCCCATTTTCAAAATGATTTAGGATTGGACAGTTTAGATACTGTGGAGGTTGTGATGGCTCTTGAAGAAGAGTTCCGTTTTGAAATTCCTGATAATGAATCAGACAAAATCAATGCTATCAATCTTGCTGTTGATTTTATTGCCTCTCACCCTCAAGCAAAATAGTCCGAAGCTGCACATGCTTTCACTCGGGTTTCTCCTATCTTGACGAGAAATTAGGTACCGTTAGACTTCCCTTATTTATCCCACTGTATTTTTATTTCGCTCGAAACTGGGTTGAGCCAGCTTCAAGCTGCATAAGTTGATGCAAACTGTTATTGGCTAAAATGAATCAACTGAGCCTATATTTCAATAATGATTTGATGAGCTTCTCCCGTTAACTTATTTGTGAACTAGTTCAACATGCATTATTTAAGATAAAAATTCACTTTTTATCCAGATCTTACAAGCTTGAATTAGTGTGAACTTAACATCCGCAATTGGTTAAGCATATATTATCAAGAAGATTTGTATTTAGTTCGGGACGTTTTCGTGGTTGGATTAGTAGATTTTGTGGGTTTTGGTTTTTCATGTTGTTGGATGTTCTTTTGCTAAGTTTGTTGCTTTTTTTTCCTACTTGATTTTGTGGCTAGGTTCACGTATTTGTGTAGCTGTATTAAGTATTTTAATGGCTAGATAAATTTTGAGTGATATATTGGTCATTCAAGTATAGTGTTGAATTATACAAAGGGAAAATGATTTTTCCCATTATCCTTATTCTCATTTTGATTAGGGTATTATAGAGGTTGATGGGTAATATATTATATGAAATGTTTTGAAAATGAATGAATTGTCATAGCTCAAACGTGTCGTGTCGGTGAATTGTCATAGCTCAAACATGACTAAAATGCATTTTTAGTACGTGACTAAACCCGTGTAACTTACCTTAAAGTGCTCCCAAAACTAACCTCTAACTCTATTTCTAAATTGTTCCCAATATCATAGTCTTTCAATCTGCAGTGAACAGTTGGTTGGAGAGGGAGATGCATATAACTATAATCCATTGGGAATATGAATCCATCAAATGTTCAAAGAAAAAGAAAGCATGTAAAAGCAAGTGTGAACTGTCATTGCCCATATTCAAATATCCCTGCCCCAAACATCTATATACAGAACCATTTCCCAAACTATCTTTGCAGGAAGAAGAATAAGAATATTGTTGAATTGCTTCTTCTTCCATAGGACTGACTTAACAGTACACAAAATCATTAAATCAAGAGAGTCAAATAAGTAACAGTTGTGGATACTCTCTCTTCCTTGCAACATATAAACTTAGAAAGAGGTGAGTCTTCAGCTGGTTCTTACAGCATCAATGGCATGAACCAAATCATCATACTTTGCTCCTGTTACTTCTTTAACTACCATTTTATTCTTTAGAATTTTGAACGTCGGCACCACTTTTATCCCAAGTTCCTTTGCCAATGGCTGCCAAATAAATCACCATAAGAGAGAGAGAGAAAGCTGAAGTGTTCTTCCATATGCATATACATTCCTAAGCTCCAGCAAGAAAGTAGGGATCATGGAACCAACCTTATTGTCTTGGTTGCAGTCAAGCTTTAGAAAGATAACGTCAAGATATTTCTCAGACAATTCTTGGAATTTGGGAGCCATCACTTTGCAGGGTCCACACCTTCAATGTAGTATTTAAGGATGAATATAGAAAGTTAATGAAGAGGTTAAGCTTTTGGGGATCCAAAAACAATGACAATACACATATGAATCTATAACTTCATAGAAGATTGAAGTTGCAAGGAGCCTGAAATTGCACAGAAAAACTTCAATACCAGGAAAAGTTTCTAATTTCTATCTATCCATTTCCATATCTGCAAAATGTAGAGCAACTAAACTTCACTGGAGAAAGGGGTTTTTAGTTAACAAATTTATGCATAATGATATTAAGGAAAGATCAGTAAGATCCAAGAGGTTACGACATGTAGGCAGGGCATGCCTCAATTACAATAAACAAGCTGTGTTGTGTTGTGTTGTGTTTCTAGGAATCCATTTCCTCATTCTTTCTCAAGTTTTCTTTCCCAAAATTCACACATCGATAAACTACTTCAGAGTTAAACAGAAACCATATCTATCACCATTAGAAGGGCACCATCACCAAATAGAATCTCACCTAAAACAGAGAACATTACCTCCAAAATATGTCAAGTTATTGGAAAGGAAACAACCAATCAAGCAGCTAATATCTATTTTAGTTCCACAGGATCATTGAATATACAAATACATTGCTTGACATGGAAGATGAGTTTATTAGCTTGACTCCGACAACTTTGCAATGACTAGCAATTAGCAAAATGTAACCGCCCAAGTCTACCACTAACAGATATGGTCCAGTTTGGGTAATTACTTTTCAGGCTTTTCCTTAAAGCTTTTAAAAGGCATCTGTTGGGGAGAGGTTTTCACACTCTTATAAAAAATGTTTCGTTCTTCTCCCCCAACCGATGTGGGATCTCACACTCCACCACCCCCCCCCCCCCCCCCCCCCCCCCCCC